AATCTCCAATTATAGTGAAACAGTTTGAGCGCTTTACTAAACTATTAAGACTTATTTTCCTGTAAAGACAAATTCTCGTGCGCTTCGGCGAGTGCACGAGGGCTGCTAATACAACTTGTAGGTGATACGAGTTAATACGCCTGACGCGTGAAACAAAAGATAGTTCATAGAAACGTACCGAGTAATGAGTCGGTTGTCGAGCGCCGCACGTGCGATGCGAACCGAGGATTGCCGAGAGCACCCGATTTTTGACGAATTGGCCGGCATGGGCGCGCGCGAGGCGACGGCAGCCATTGGATGATTGACATCTCGTTATTAGACTATCAGTATAGTTTCACTGTATGTGTGACGCGCTAATAATTGTTTATTTATATTACCGTAAATAATTGTTTTTAGTTTTCGTTTCGATTTTTTTCGAGAACTTTTATTCTATACTGTGTATTAGTGAAAATGAGCATAAACATTGATTATATTAAAGAAAATAACAGAACTTTTCAAAACAAAGTGAACATAAAATTGGCCGGACCGCCACGGCCCTTTTTAAATTTAAAACAATAAAAAATAAACATATATTATGTCAATTTTTGTTTTGTTGCATTTTCTAACTTTAATATTTTAGTAAACTGCACCACCAGTTCGATAACCCACCAGCCGCCACTGGTAATAGATAACTATCATGTTCCACAATACCCACATTTTATAAGTTCTTGCAAATTATTTCTTTGAACATTTTCTTCAGCGTTAGTAAAACTTTCTGCGTCACTTTCTGTTCCAACAAATTTCCATTTATTTTTGACAGCCCCTAACAGAGGGTAAATAGCACATGCTCCAGTTCCTGAAGTAATAAAATTTATTACATTTAAATGAAAATATGTAACTATTGAATACAATATGACTTTTATACATTTAGAAAATATATTATAACTGACTGTAACAAGTAGCACACCTACCAATGTCTAACCCTACGATATTCTCCTTTCTATGTGTAACTTCCATTAAATCTTCAATCCATAAAATATAGTTAAGTCTTAAAGGTAGTGTTGGAACCAATCTGTCAGCAGGAATATCCACTTCAAGATTAAAATCCGATTTGAGAAGGCATTTAGTAAGGACTCTGAGTGAGTGTGGGTCTTTGAAGTCAATTCCTACTTTACCAGTTATATCCTGAAAAATGAAAATATCTGTTTTAAGTCTAGATAAAAATTAAAAACAAGTTATTTATGATTTCATAAGAAGTGCAGAGAGTTGATTATTAAATTTTTACTTTCTTTATGACCTTAATTATTATTATTATAAGACTAAAGAGGTGCAAAAACAAAAGATTAATAATTAAATCACAACAATGTTGACCATTCCTTTCAAATTAGTTGGTAATACTCATAAAATAGAATGTGGTAATCGTTGTTTACATCCAAGTCAAATGAAAGATAGGGTAAGACATAGATACAACAAACCAAGGTTAAAAATTTTAATGTAACACTGTACCTTGCCTTTATTTATGCTACATCGTGTCTGGTGCTAAATAAATGTTTTTTTCTTTCTTTACCTTAAGAACTTTATAATCAATTTCATTTTATAAGTAAAACTTACCGATTTAGATATGGCTGCAAATTCTGGGTAAATTAATGATAATTTTCCGAAATCAGGAGGGGTTTTGTAAATGTTGCGAGGGTGCATATACTTATTTAATGCCATTTGTTATAAATTTCTACAGATGAAGCGTAGTTTTTTTAAATCAATGATTTTACTGTAGTATGTACCTAATAAGATTTTGATAAAATTTCTATCTTGATCGGCACCTTGGAAGTGCACCAATCATCATTGATATTGAATTTGATAGGTGACATTGACGTCTTTGACAACGGAATGCAAAGAGTGTATCGGGATCATAGATTTAGTATTATAGTAGGTCTGTGATCGGGATAGACGGAATGCATAGACCATTATTAAAAAAATGGAATCCTTCATCTTTGCACCTCCAAAACAAAAGTAAACTTTAAAGTCTATGCTCTATCTGTCACTCGTTCGTTCTTTTCGTTCAATATTCATTCCTCTGACTAGTATATAGTAATCTGTGATTCATTCGATCAAATCAATCTCATTCGAGTCATTCGTTTTACTTTTATTGCGTAGTAGTTACTTACTTTGTGTGTGCAAATATTTTTCTCTCTCTCTCTTTGTCTTCGATTTCGCGAAGCAGTTGACGCGCGTGTGTGATAATAATTATTGTAATTAAATCAAAAATATCTATCTACAACTATCAAAATGGTTGATCAAATTGAAATGGCTTTAGATGACATCATAAAAGCTAACAAAAAGGCACCCAGGGGCGGCGGCGCTGGACGTAAATTCAGTACGGCAAGAAAACCTGCTGGTGGTCGTGGTGGAGCTGGAGGTGGATTTAGAAATGGCCGCACGGGGGGCGTTTTGCGCGGTAGAAACCGTGGCGGTATATCTAAATCAACAAATTACTCAAGGGTAAATAATTACTTAAATGGTAACTCAAATTGCAAATGGCGGACAAACGTGGTGAAATGACGCATCTTGTAAAATCCCCCTCAAATCTATGGACGATAGTTGCAATGACGACTCGAGTTATCTATTTGGCCATCATGTATGTAGCGGCAGTTCTTCACTGTTTTTATTTAATTTTGCTCTTGCTGACTTGGATCATAAGATCTAAATTTGGCTTCGAGAGAGCACTCCAATGTAAACGCGTGTCATTTTTTGTGACAAATTATACTGAAATGTTTTCGACTGAAATACTGTCCGCGGCAGTTTGGCATCAAAGGCTATCAAAATGCAACAAACACTGCTAACAACACTACAGATGTCTACTTTCCGGGATCTGCGATTCGACCTTGTCGCTGATGTAGTGGAAGTGATAGATAAAGTTTGTGGGATTGTGTCTCGAGTTGCCTGCAACATGGAGTCTTGTAAGGCTCCGAGCTGCGGGTAGGGGCTACAAAGAACAGTGCTGTGGTGTTATTCCTGATTTGCAAGATGCAGTTCAAAAATCAACGCGAGTGTGTGCCATCCAGTGTGAAAAATAAGGACTGCATTAATATTGTGGGACGAATTAATCCAATTATGTAATGCAAATTATAAAGCAAATTCCTTTCTAGATCAATATAGTAATTGTTTTGTAATAACATTGTAATTTTGTATATTGTTACAAAAATATAGCAGAGTATGTAACTAATATGTATGCCACAACTTTACACTTGGTGTAATCATGTTCAATGAGGCATTGAGCTGCCAATCGGCTAGCTCTGAAGGACCACCTATTTCAGGGCGATGTTAACAGCGCATGGAAACATGACATGTTCAATGACTTTGGTGAACGGAAGATTCAAAGAAACACCATGCCATCAATCACAACTGGCCCCACAAAATTATTAGTATCCAACTTAGACTTTGGAGTCTCCGATTCTGACATACAAGAGCTGTTCTCAGAATTTGGAATTCTGAAAAGTGCAGCTGTACATTATGATAGATCTGGAAGGTCTTTAGGTAAGATTAATTAATGCATATTTGTGAGTTTACCAGTTACTTATAGTTTTAATAGAGATTAATTTATAATGTATTTATTTATTGTTAAAAGGTACTGCTGATGTTGTGTTCGAGAGGAAAGCTGATGCATTAAAGGCAATGAAGCAATATAATGGTGTGCCATTAGATGGAAGAGCAATGAATATTCAATTAGCTACTTCGGAGATAAGCAACTTTAGAAACGAAGAAAGAAATCGAATCAGTGGTGGCGGAGGCAACACTGGCGGCAATGGACCAGTCAGGAGAAATATGAACAGAGGTACTTATAATTCTAGTACTGAATTTAAGCTAATGTTGTAAAAGTCAATTTAAAGATTGTAAATGAATAATGATAATATTCTTTGTTCAGGTGGACCAAACCGAAATCAAGGTGGAGGTGGATCCCGTGGTAATGCTCGCCGTCCTGGCCGTGGAGGAGCTGGAGCAGGCCGTGGGAAGCGTCCTGTACCAACTGCAGAACAGTTAGATGCTGAACTTGATGCCTATGTTAAAGAAATTAAGTGAATGATAACTTTATGTAGTGTAAAAGACTATTTTATAAGTTTATAAGTTTAGAATAAACATGAAGAACTTTAATTACTGACACCAGATTTAACCATATTTGATGGTTAAAGCAAAATATCAACTAATTGATAACAATTGAATTGAAATTGTGTTTTGACTCAATGTTAAATGATTTAATAAACATAAGAATTTGGTACATATAAATACATTGCTAATTTAAGTTCACCTTGGTTGAATGTAATAACATATTTCTTTTTCACTATCTCTAGAAAGTTACTATCTCGTCTTTTTTTTTGTCATAATATGACGAGTCTTTGATTAATATTATTGAGATGCATGATTTAAATTGGTGACTGTTTGTGTGATATTGTAATGTTGACAGCTATACAAATTTAGCATTTACAAAAAAGTATGAAAGCTGTTCAAGTACCAAGTACCAAGCTGTTAAATGTAAATCTACCAAGTAGAAGTCTTATCAAAATGTTAATGGGTATTTTCGTATTTTTATCTTTGTCACATCCATATCCAAATAAAACTTCAAAAGTACTGCAATAATATTTGAAAATTCAATGAGATACTGAATAATATAGAAACGCACACATCTTGCAAATGCATTCGGAAACTGCACATGGGGACATGTGTCCATACATAATTACAAAGCAAGCAACATCTTTGCAAGCTGCTCGTTTTTAACTTGTGTAAGAAAATTCAACATCAGTTCCATTATTGGCAAATAAAAAATCGATCAGTTCTATTTTCCTCCAAAGATAAGCAAAGTGTTTCCCACTTTCATGGAATATCATAGCAAGGAAGGATACATTCTCCTTGGTGCTCGTACACGCTAATTCTACTACTCGTGGGGTCCTCGGCGCCTGAGCGTTCAACGCGAACACAAGCGCTAGCCAAGCAAGCAACAAAAAAAATGCACGCGTGCAGGTAGCTGATGAATGCTGGTGCATCCAGACTTTCCCGAGGATTAGAAAAGTACCTAATTGAGATCTAACTAGGCAGCTATCAGTAACATACAGTTTATCTATTTAATTAATCATGAAACATTACCTAGTTTTGCCATAATTATATTCTTTCTCAGCAATTCTTACAGCAGAATACTACTTCTACAAACGATGGATTAAATGTCTTATACTTTTTTCAATTATATTGCTCTAAAGGTCATTGTGCACATCTAAAAAGCACAGCTCTGGCGCAGCGTTGATTGAACTGGTAATTTTGTATGGAACCCATACCCAGCTCGTAGCATTTCAGACTTTATTAGGAGGCATAATTGACCAACACAACAGATTTTTTTTTTATGAAAAGTTTGTGAGAGACCGAAATTATTATAACTTTATTGGACTTTAAGTTACAAACAATATTATAATAATAAAAAGTAACAAAACTAAAACCAAACTACGACGCTGAAAAAGTAACAAAAGATTTTCAGAATACTGAACTGAACAAAGTTGCTAATGTAGGTACCTAAATGGGCACAGTAGACTGCAGTAGACTACCAACCAATTGAGCGACGAGACAGCGTTCCCAGTATGTACGGGATTATTTTTATTGTTCATTGGAAATTGTTTGTTTTTTAAGTACTCTTCGTTATAAATTGACAACAAGAATGTCATACAATAGGTTTTTTTTTTAAGGGGGGAAAGTCATCGAATGACTGCTCCCGCCTGGGTGAGGCGGGAGGGAGTGTCAGACTCTTACTGACTAAAAACCACCCCGTTCCTTCTCCTGCACGTCGAGCCGGAGCCCCGGTTACCCGTTAGGTTCTCCGCGACTTCGAATCGGCATTAGCCCTATTGGGCCCCATCTGTGGTGGGCTGATGGCACTTTGACGCGCGCGCCACAGCGGCGCGGCGCGGGACGGGACAGGATGGCGACAGGACCTGAGCAGTTGTAATATACTAGATATTACGGACGACGCCACACAGAGCCGTCGGTACCCGTCACGTCGAGCGGGACGGCTTGATATCTGATGGCTCACTATTATCGCAGCGGTAAGTCCGGTAGCGACAGTCGTTGCAACGATCCAGCAACTGGAACTTCAACAAGTCCGAGGCCATGTGTTTTTATAGCCGCGGGTATGCGCCACCTCCGAGTGGGTGCCAAATAACGGCAGGAGGGGTTACCATTGACATCTATATGACATGACATACTTAGGAGTACTTCATCGTAGTCTAACTCATCCTCGACAGTCAATGAAACTTCGTGGAACATTTCCGACGTCTGGCTCTTAAGTTGGAACGGACGGGGCTACACTTAAGCGGCTGCTTCCCACTATTATTAAGAATTACAAAATCGCGGATCTCAACCCGCTTAAATAATATTTAGGTGGGATGATATCCGTCACGATATCATGGTGGAATAGCAACGATATCATGGTGGAATAGCAACGATATCATGGTGGAATAGCAACGATATCATGGTGGAATAGCAACGACATCATGGTGGAAAAGCAGTAATGTCCTACTTATTATACTCTTTGGTAATGACTGCCGCAACTGGGCTGGGTGTCATTCTGACACCGTGATCTATCAATGCATAATTTCAAAATACGTGCTGAACGAATCGGGCTGCAATGTCATACTTATTATACTCTTTGAATGTAGCAAGCAGATGGATGTTATGACGCAAGCATCCGCTAAAAAGGATTTTAGTCAATTTTAGTAAACGTATAATCCGTAGCTTTTCAACTGATTAAATGAAATGTTTAAATAAGATTATGATAACTTGATTAAATAGGATAGGGCCCGGGAAAGTACGTCTGGGAGTTTCTAACCCAAAATCGAACAAGAACTGGAATTATAGCCTTGGCACTCCATGCATCGTTTAAACGACTAGTTATTTCTCTAAAATTCAGTACCGTAAAATGGGGTGAATAGGGATTGTGTGGTGAATAGAGACAGAAGAGGGGTGAATCGATACTATGAAGAATTTCCTTATATCTATTCACCCCTCTTCTGTCCCTTTTCGCCGCTGAAACCCTATTCACCCCATTTTACTGTATAATAATAGTTTGCGACCCAGGAAAGGAAATTTATTAGATTTCTTAAATTCCACGAGAGCAGGAACTAGGTATGTGTATCCCGGGACTATATTTTAAACCACTGAATCACTGAACCTATTTGAGTCCAACGATAGTTTGAGACCTGGGAAACTATGTAGGTATCTATGATCGTATTTTTGCCCAGGAATGGGAACTACGCGTTAAAACTTCAGGACTTGTGGGATTGTTTACTTTTTGAAACCACGATCATAAATTCATTTCACAATAAATATAACTTAGGTATTGAATCGATTCTCACGACATTTGTTACAGCCTTAGAATAGACCTCGGAAAAGACACATTCTACCAGAACGGAGTAAGTCGCGAGCAACAGCTAGTTTTGTACAAAATTTACTATATTTACCGATTTATTGTAAAATAAATTACATATAGGTATTGTAAATATACTATATTTACCTTTTTATGTTTAAAAAATTGTATAGAATGGAATATTTCAAAGGTCTGTTCCATTTAATCCAGAGTAAAAGTTAAAAACATATGACACTTTGAACCTATAATAAAATAAAATTATCAGATGAACCCAAACATCTAAGTGAGTAAAATATATTTTAGAAAAGGACATTTAAAAAAGGTTTCGGGTTCCTCTTTTATTTATAACTAGCTACCTACTCCCGTGCGGTTTTACATGCTCTGCTCAGTTTCTATTGATTGTAGATTTGTAATGTTACAGCCTTCCTCGATAAATGCACTATCCAACACAGAATTTCAAACCAACTCTTTAGCTTTAAATAATAAGCATCACTTCACCGCTGATGATTGTTTTGTTACTAAATAAATATTATTGTGGGTACGTAAGTGAAATATTAGTTTGTAAGTATCCCCAAAATGTGGTCACCCTTTTTTTACCCTACACTGTGAATTTATAAGAAAATAGTTAAGTACTTAGGTATTGTTTTGTCAGAATCCAAAATATGCATTTCTGAACTATGCTAAATGTTAGTCTCTCTGGCTTTAGATTCGGTTGAGATCTCAGGTGGCTACAGTCAAGTACAGTCAAATATACATAACTAGAACGTCAGAATTGAGGAGCCAAAGAAAATGCGTTCATATACAAAATGACAATGACCAAATTTGTATGGAGCGTGGTGCCTTTTAATTTTTTCGCGGCAGTTGATCAAATGTGGATAAACTGATGCAGAATAACATTACAAACAAAAAAATATATGGGGTCTTAAATCAAAAACACAGTCCGAACCGAGTTAAATCAGTTCAAAAATGTGAAAATAGTGGTATATTATTCCTGTTATTTTGTTGATGGTGACCGTACACAACGCATATTTCTTCATTTACTTGTCACAAATATTTTGTAATGAATGTTTATAAACGATTTCAAGGAATCTATTAAAGCTTATTGTGGGCTTTTTTTTTATTTTTTTTTTGTTATAAGGCCAAGGAATCAGAACAAAGTGAACCTTTAACTGGCCACTGCTGAAATAAAAAAAAAACATTTCGCTTGATTGGCTACCGTATTCACTTTTTATGTATACGGTTTAAGGCCTTTGACAGATTTTCATGATCAATTTCCTCTCAGTCGAAAACCCGCAAAATACTTTACTGAGCCTTATCATAAAATGCTATGTTCGTCAACTGAGGCGTCGGTAGCGGATACACGAAAACATCATATTTCTGTCTACTTCTCCCGACTTACTTCCGATTAGTAACTAATCTAACTACAGTTAATACTTTAATCTATATCTAGCATAAGATTCTGTACAAAGATATCGTCATTCAGTCACCAAGTGATGGATTATATTTCGACTGATCACATTATATGAAAAAATTATGCGCTCATCTGACGTATAGTCCATCACTTTACAAAGTCGACGGTTTCCTTTCTTGAAAATATTATGCTAACTATAAAGTAGATGAGTCTACCACCAGGAGTCAAAGGCAAAAAAAAACTTTTAGATTTTTGGACGGCTGCCACTACTCAACCCACCACTGGTACCTCAGCTGACGCTCATGGAGCTTCATGACACAACTCCTAGAAGCATCCCACAAATTATCGACTGAGAGAAAATAGCAAATAAAAATTAGTGCCTGGCAATATGGATATATTGTGGTGTGATATGGTGTTCCTGTGCCCGGCGTACAGTGGCGCGCAATTTGAAGTTAGGAATTGTGACAAAAATATGAATAATTTGAATAAAAAAACCAAAGTAAAATGTTTGACTTCAGCTCTTTTCGACGCTCATAACTCAGTCCAGACTGAGATTTCCATATATGAGCCCATAGACAATTTCGTTTGTAATGTCATTCTAGATAATATTTTCCATAAATCATCGACTGCCGCCAGAAAAAAGAAAGGCACCAATTTTAGTCAATGCCCTTTACTCTATTTTACTATTTTATTCCTATACTGCAAAAACAAACACAACACCTGCTAAATTATCAATATGACAATATATTAATTGATCGCTCACATCCCATAGAAATTCACCTCTTGTGTTTAGATTGAGAAGCCATATTAAAAGTATTGTATTTTCTATAGCAATACAGAAACCAAATTTTTATATGGTAATGTGCAAAATTACTAATAAATGATACAAACTTTTCATACATATTCATCTATTACATAACAAGTTCTAGATGGCTCCTCAATTCAATTCAAACGTTTAGATTGAGGAGCCATGTTTGCATTAAAATAACTAGTGATATATTTTGCTGCTAAATCTAGAATTCATGCTGCAAAATAAGCTAAACAGCTAGGTACTAAATAGAGGCTCAATCCTTATGGACTTATAAAATCTTTGTGGGGTAACAATTAAAAAAAACAAAATGAACCCCGTCACCCATAGAGTTTAACAGTGTTTTTTTTAATATTTGACAGTTTTACTCCAACTGACATTATCATATTATGACATTTTTTTTATATCGGCAACATTTATAAATTCTTAGTTTGTTAAGTACACAGATCTACTTACTACGTCCAGTTAATTATGGTCTAAAATAATTCATGTTTTTAGTTTATACCCGGGTCTTTCCTGAGTGTCCTTTTGAGCTGAAGCATCGAGAAATACATAATTTATAATACTAGTGTTATTTCATGTATGTTTAGCAGTTTACTGTTATAAACATTTGAGCTTTCTTAATGTGGCACAGTGACGGTTTATTAATACCATTCGACGTATTATTTTAGTGCATTGCATACAGATTTAGTGGTATTCAAGGCCGTACGATGAATCTTTCAGGTAAGTGTCTTTACAAAAAAGTTTGCATTTTGTTGTGCTGAAATTTTTGATTGTATAATGTTTTTGTTATTGTCGGCGTTTAACCTCAAAGCAAAATAACGTCATTATAAATAGTTAAATCTTTTATTTCCATTGCAGTTATTGCATCGTCTATATGTCTGTTCAGTATTTAAAATAATCTATTTCATTCTATAAAGATTTATTAATGTTCAAATTTTTTTTCTTCAGACCCTTCTGATGAGGAGAGTAGCAGTGATGAGAGCACCACAATACCAGCGAAGCGATCTCGAGCGGACACGTATGGAGCATCATCAACGACATCCCATGGCTCTGGTGAGTAACCAAAGAATAATAAACAAGTGAATTTTGGGACAGTTTTCCTTCAGTAAAATAAATGTACCTATCCATTTTATGAGAAACAACTAATAACAAAATATCAATATTATATTCTAATGAAAGAAAAAATATTATTTTATCATTACCAGAGTATACTTTGTAATGTGGTTTTTGTTGCGAGTCATTATTTATCTTGGATCTGTGTAAACTTATATTTAAGAGTATCTTCCTAAAATAAATTATTATATTTAAATTTTATTAGCTCTTCAAGAATCAGATAAGGACAGTCCAGACACACCAGTTTTTGACAGCTATGGAGGTGATTTTCAACAACCAGGGAAAATAAGGCAAAGTTATGGTGACCAAAGTCCTGAAGAGAATATAAGGTTAAGCAGAAGTAGTTTAAGTGAAAATTGTTCATCACCAAATGATAATCAATATGATGATTATCGGCCAGTATTTGATGAGGCAGAAGGGGGCGAAGAATCTGGGCGTCCTAGTTTCCTGGATTCTGGAGATGCTTTCTACAATAAGAATAATGAACACAACAAAAATTTTGAGGATGCATACAGTGCAAAGTATTCAGACAAATCTAAGCGAATCATGATGAATATGGGTTTTAAACCAGGAAAAGGTCTAGGTAAATTTGAACATGGTAGAACACAACCTGTAGAGGCATCAGCTCAAAAAGGTCGCAGAGGTTTGGGAGCTAAACCTTCAGCTGTAGGAGCATTGCCGGAAGATATCAAAGAAGTAACAGAGGAAGCCAAGCCAGAAGCAAGGGAACAAGTGGTAAATCATACAAAAAATTATTCATGCTTATATTTTACATGCTAATTCTTATTTTAAAAATTTCGGATTTAATTTTCAGTTATGGCTCGATCCTGCCCCAGATGAACCATTATCTGGTGATCTGTTGGAGAAATGGCTTCGACGAGGCACCAAAAAAACAACTATTGATGATGAAACACATTTTGTTGACCCTGCTATTTTAAAAGGGGTATTGGATTCTAAGGTATAGTTCTCCTTTTCTCCATTTTCTGATTTGTATATGGATTATAAATGACTGCAGAATACTCATAAAATTAAGAATAAATTATTATTTTACAGACCATTTTTGACAGTTTAGATGATGAAGATTTACGTCATGCGAGATATCGAAGTAATCCTTATGAGACTATTGGTTCAGTAATATTCTTGAACAGAGCTGCAGTGAAGATGGCCAATATTGATGCTGTATTTGATTTTAATTTCACTAACCCTAAAAAGCAAAATGGAGAAGATGCTGTAGATAAGAAAGAAATCTTGTATTTTGCTGATGTATGTGCTGGTCCAGGAGGATTTTCAGAATATGTGTTGTACCGTAAAGGTTGGAGAGCAAAAGGTAATTTTATATTTTTATTTTTTCGATCTTTTATAGTTGTCAGTAAGACGGGGATTATTACAAATTGGAAATGTTTGGCTGCTTCATTTTTCTTTTGTCCATTGTTCTTCGCGATTATAAATATGATAAAGTATTTGCCGATGCTTATGTATCTGCATGAATCATTGGTATGTTTTGTACCAATAACGGAAAGAACTTACGATGTTATGTATTGTTCTATGGTAAATAGAATCAAGCAAAAATCATTGTTATTTCCATAAAGTATAGTTGATTTTAGATTGAATAAGTCAGATATTCCTATCTTGAAAGTAGGTACTGCACTACTCAGTGACTGAGTCGAGTGGTGACGCTTTATCATAAACTGCACTGCAACAAAATATGATTAGTAACGTCAACTGTCGCTATCAAGCCTGATTAACAAAAGTAGCAACGTTATTATTATTTCCAAGGAAGCTAAAGAAAAATAAGAAGATTAAGCTCTGTAGATCTACCTACCCATAGAACAAAGAGTTTATTTATGTACCTATGTATCCTACTAATATAGCCGAGCCTGTGCCTTCTTCCGCGTGGAATAGTGATTCACAGCTCCACTCCCGTGGTTGATAGCATGATAATATGTATATGTATATGTATGTTTGTTGACCCGACCTGTTAGTAATCAGGGTTGTTGCTGATGCAGGATTTTATCACATCAGCGGATGCTGATGCTGATGCTGATTTATTGTAATTTACATCAGCTGATGCTGATGCTGATGCTGATTTTAAGTTTTTTTATACCTACTCAATTTTATACATTTTTAGGTACCTAAATATTATATTTTCATCGACCTACTTTTAATAAAAGATATATTTTAATAATTCTATAACTTTTTAATGAAGAAAAACAATCAAACAAATACCTAAAAACTAGTTAAGTAATAAATTACCTATTAATAATACTGGAATTCTATTAATGTCAAGTTGTATTTTAAAAACAAGAACTGAGCTGCTTTTTCAGCTTGCAGTCTGTTGCGGGTAGGTTTGTATAATGCCGGCACTGCTGAATAACTGTTTGCTAGTCAGGCGGAGGTGACAGGATAGGTACTGCACTTTGCTTGCAATGCTTACAATATTGATTGACGAAATGTTATGAAATATATGTATTTTGTTGGGCCAAAACTGGGAAGCGACAGCAGCACGTGCCATTAACTCTGCCCCCTGCCGGTCATGTCGCCATACGAACTTTGAACATCATCAGCATCTAACATCAGCAAGAATTAATGCGGATGCTGATGCTGATGTGTACAATAATGCTGATATTCCGCTGATGCTGATACTGATGCTGATATTTGCAACAACCCTGTTAGTAATATCCATGCAAAATTTGAAGTAAATCCATGCAGCACTTTTTGAGTGCATCCCGGACATTCAGTACAGATAGACAAAAATTCTAAAAACCTTATTTTTGGTTTTGGTAACGACAGTAAATTACGCCCCAAGCATTCTTTTAAAAAAATATTCGATGTACAGTGTTCCATTTCCTACAATTTTATTATATGTATAGAATTATAGATATATATATATACATATAAATGCGAAAGCTTGTGAGGATGTATGTGTGTGTTTTTGTTTGTTACTCTTTCACGTCATAACGGCTGAAGGGGTATGATAGGTATTTGGAGTAGGGGTAGATTATGGTCTGGAATAACACATAGGACATCTTTTTATCCCACGGGAATGCGGGCGAAGCCGCCGGCAGAAGCTAGTATTTTATTACAATATTCTTTACCTATTTGTTTCAGGTTTTGGTTTTACATTAAAAGGGCCAAATGACTTTAAGTTATCAGATTTCTATGCTGGATCACCTGAAACTTTCAACCCATATTATGGGGTGAAGAATGATGGCAATATATTTGATCCTGCAAATTTGATATCATTGAAGGAGCATGTATTGAAGCAAACTGATGACAAAGGAGTACATTTTCTTATGGCTGATGGTGTAAGTAACTGAATTCTCTTTTGCATTAATTCATTTTCTCTAGTACAATTACCATTTAAGCTTGTTCAATTAAATTTCAGGGTTTCTCAGTGCAAGGCCAAGAAAATATACAAGAAATATTGTCCAAGCAGCTCTACCTATGTCAGTGTCTAGCAGCATTGATGCTTGTGAGGACTGGTGGCCATTTTGTGGTGAAACTCTTTGATGTGTTCACATTGTTTAGTGTTGGCTTGATTTATATATTGTACAGATGCTTTGATAAAGGTCAGTAACTAAATTAATTAAATGAAAATGGTATATTAATCTGCTGGGAAAATTTAAATAACAAACTTGTAACTTCTATTCAACTCTCCTGTTTGCGGGTTTGCAGTTTGCATTCACAAGCCTGTGACGTCGAGACCTGCTAACTCCGAGCGATACCTTGTATGTTTGTGGAAGAGGTTGGGCACAGAACCAGCAGAACAGCACCTTGCGTCAGTTAACTCAATATTATGGAGCGACGTTGAAAGGGGTGGAGACGTCACGCAACTTGTACCTTTAAGTGTTCTGGAAGAAGATAAAAACTTCTTTGAATACATTTATAAAAGCAATTGCCTGTAAGTATACAGTACAATTTTTATTAACTCTATTGATAGCTTCTCTATTTGTCTATATAGTGTACCAATACCATTTATTAATGTGTAATGTTGCTTTCAGACTTGGTGAAAGACAAATTCAAAATTTACTTAAGATAGCTAGATACAGTAAAGATAAAAATTTAAAAGAAACTACTCAAGCAGAAATGAAAGAGCAGTGTTTGGCATTGTGGAAAGTAAGTATACTGTATTCATCTTTAAATTACGAACAATATAATGCTCGCTGTTCCTCTAAAGTTAAAGGTAGAAATATGAAACAATATTGTATTAATTTCAGTTGCCTGACGCAGTAAGAATGCAGCCAGAACGTAGAGGGCATGACGACACATTAACAGCTATCCGATCTCTGATAAAAAGACCGGGATCTGATTCTGAAAGCTTGTACTTTTTTAAAGCAAACATATTGAACAAACCGCCTAGCTATTTAGAGAACCCATCAGAACTAAAGACGTATTTCAAAAATATATTAGATTGGCATTTTGTGTTTTTGAGCAGCGGGAAAAATAGTCCTGATTTAAGAATATTTATAGGTAAAACTTACCTTCTTTATTTATATTTCTTAAAATTACGTGTACTTTGATTCCTACTACAATATTTATATAAATTGTAGGATGTGGTGGAAAACAAGTTTTTCAATTGGAATCAAATTCGTGGAGGACAGTTGTAGATTTACATTTGACGTTACCGGCCAAAACACTGATATATGGTGAAGTATGTTCATTCATTTCAGATATTTTATGAGGTTTATGTTTTTTTTATTACAATTTTGATTAATTATCTTAACATGTTTTTTTTAGGTGGTTAAAGAATATCGGGGACAGGGAAACAATCAAATTTATAGCAAATCTTTGCACATTATTGATGCTTTAATGTTAGGTGGAATTGATATTTCAGGAGATTCTTTAACTGAAAGGTTGGTACTCGTTTGCTATACTTGTAATTATTTGTATAGCTTTCCCTACGCCCCAATAAAAATATCACTTGCTTGTTTGTAATTGAATAATACAACGAAAATACATTTCTTTTTTTTTTTTCAGGATAAATCAATGTAATCTGTTTTGTTCAGCGTTAAATAAACCGTTTGATACTCAAGCTCTTCCAATACGAACAAAGAGGCTATACAGTATGGATCAATTTGAAACAGCAGTTAGTAATTTGGAGTATCGTGCCATGAAACGAGTGAAAAGAGCAATAACTATAAATACGCCTGATAGAATAAACAGAAATGAAATGTTTTATGTAGTCGGATCTGTTTTGTTGCTAAAAGAAGTAAAAGGTAATATTTTTTTTACTCTGGATATTTTTACAAGGCAATTATGTTCATCCATGTGATCTTTTGACACACTTGCCAAACATAACACGAAATTCTCCGTGCTCCTACTGAGAATTTTCGAAAAAAGAAAATAATAAATACCTTAATTAAACTGTCAAACACCAAGCGGTCACCGGTGACCGCAACCTATTGTTCTATAATTGTGTCTATAATGACGGTACTCGACGAGTTAATAATAAAACACCTTGCTCGTCGGCTGTATTTGCCCCTGGGAACGCGGGTGAAACCGCTGGCAGAAGCTAATTACTAATAAAAACTTGTATTCCAAAAAAAAACTAATTAAATACTTTCAGAAGTAGCTTACACATTTGATTCATTGCAGAACCTTGGATTGCGGTGATATCGAAGAGCAGTGGCCGTAAATACTATTTCAGTATGGGTAGGGATGGTAAGAGAAATAGTGAGTACGAAATACCACCAGGCGCCAAGCTGGATATGTTGAGCGCACACACACGACGTGTTATGTGGCCTTGGGAGCCATCAGCCAGTGCTATATTCGACAGCCAAACTAGAGACAGTGTCACACGAGCTGACATGGAGGAATATATCACAAGTGTGTTGAATAAATAAATTACAGATAACACAACTTACGAAGCCCGATTTCACAGTACAGAAAGGCGTATGTTAATATAGAATAGATATAGGAATACTTTGTTATTTAATTATTAAGCTTTAAATAAATTCTTTATCAATAATTTTACAATAACGATAGTAATATGGTGACGCGATCCCCCTTTTGTACACAGAAACTTGTCTCTAATCAGTTTAAAATTAGTGATGCAATGCTGTGTACTTTTATGATTCAGAATAAAATAAAGTTTGTAAAGTAATAATTCTATTGTATTAAATGATTTCAATGTTTAAGTAATTTTTTATCTAACATGTAATAATATCTACATATGTTCACGCACACCTTTCCCTCATGGGCATTGACAAAATCACAATCACAAAATTACATCTTGCATTCTTCTCTTGAGATTCTTGCATTTAGCCTCATGGCTATACACAACCACATGGTTTAACTTTTACCTTAGAGCATTCATAATAATTATGCTCTAAGGTAAGACTATTCCTTCCTATCTTATGAGAACCTCGTAAATGAGGTCAATATGTGATGTGCGTCTCCTGCCTTTAAACTTTTCATAATCATAGGATTATCCGTTATATCGTTAATTGTTTCCATATGTCCAAACCATCATTATTGTTACCCTTTTATTCACGAAATCATCCATTGCATATTATGTTGCGTAACAGTCTTATCTCTACTCTACAATCAGTAATAAACTTCTAAAACAACACAAAAATAAGTAATAATAAGATAGTATTTCAAAATTTTTGTTTGCTTTTGCTACTTAGCAAAAATCACTTTTCCTACTTGTCAAATCGGGCCTTATAGATTTGGGACTGACTGTTTTTATCCATTTCATTTAATTTAGTTATTATTTAAGGATAAATAAATATTAATTAAACAAATAGGTAAAATATAATAAGGATCCAAAATATTTTTGGACCTATTTTGAAATGAAATGTTTTAAAGAAATCTTTTGGCCTTTTTATAATTTTTGTCTAAATATGACAAACGCTAAACCTGCCTATATACTTATTATGTACTTATGAGTATGATTAAAGTTGGTTATTTGAATGTTCCAGTTTTTTTTAATTTGTGTAAACCACTATACCTATATATTACAAGATCATTTGTAACATTTATGAAATGAGTTTCATGTTATATTATAACGCAATGACTGTGTGTTTCGAAAACAGAATGGTCAATAAATCCAATACCTCTATCTCGGTATCGAAACTGAAACTTTTTATCCAATAATAAGGTTGGCCTTGAAACATAACATTACGCCTTCTATTTCCAGGAGGTTGCTTGTACTGTAGGATAGAGACATTATGTCTCTGTAAACACGTTCTAAATTCTAAGTAAGCACATTCATAATTGTGTAGAAAAAATAATTGTATGGATAAAATTGGTGTTCTGTGTGTTATATTATATTTATTTATTTATATATGCTTTATTGTACACATTTAAGTAGCTTAAAACTTTTTTATATTTTATAATTTTTATACTAGCTATATTATTATACTACTTAAGTGCGGTTTCACCCGCTCTACTCGGCGCCTATTGATTTTAGCGAGGTGTTTTAAATCTCTTACTATTATACTAAAGCTGAAGAGTTTGTTTGAACGTGCTAATTTCCGGAACTACTGGCGCGGAAGTACTTAGTAGTATATAAAATTGTAGAAGTAAAATTATCTAGAGAACAAGTAGGTACGGGGAAGTCCCTGTTCTTTAAAATAGAACTAAATTTATTGGAACTTTAAAGATTAAGTACAGTTGTACCTACGCCTAAATGTAAATTAAGTCTAATAATTTGTTTGTAATGGGTAAATCTATATATGACATAACTTTTTCTTTCAAGAAAAATAAAGCCGATCAATATTCAAAATATACTTAATAATTAATGAACCTCGATTCAATTCATGGGTCGGAAAAAGTGTTACATAATAAAGTTTCCGATTTCTATGTTTCATTGTTTTATTCGAAGTATTCGCACTCTGTTATATACTTTTTACTACTATTTTCTACTATATATATATATTTAATACTATATATAAAATTGTGTACACAATTTTCATGATAATCAATACTGAAAATACTAGATTTCAGGACTAAGTTTAACGGTTAAAAATATAAAATTTGGCGGGTGGTTTGACAATTTTGACACTTGACTTTGACATTACGTTGTGTTGTGTTTTATCGGTGCGGTGGTACCTATTGATGATTTTTTAAAGTTTGTGCTTATAATCTAATAGGTTTTTAAAGTTAAGGATAACATTCATTGTTGAAAATATGACAGTAGGAGAAGTAAGCAAGAACCTACCATGGTCAGTATCAGTCTAGTGTTCGTAATACTCAATAATACAGTTTAATATTTATACGAAACATGCTGCTGTACCGGTCGTGGCTATAAATCAGTTTTATTTTAACCTAAGCAATGGATTTCCTGTTTCAGGGTCGAAAAATACCGTCCTTCAAAATTAGAAGAATTGATATCTCACGACGATATTATTAAAACAAGTAAGATTGAAAATAGCACTAATATATTGTGAGAATATTGTTAGCACGTATATTTCGTTATTTTTGACGTGTTTTTACGAATATTACAGTAAACCAGTTTATGAAGGAGAACCAACTACCTCATTTATTATTTTACGGCCCTCCTGGAACTGGCAAAACATCAACAATATTAGCTTGTGCCAGACAAATGTACACACCACAACAATTTAACTCAATGGTAAGTAATTTCATAGAAATAAGTACCTGAGCGAAATATTTCTTTCAATACTTCTTTTATTAAAATTCTGACTTAATCCATAGGTTTTGGAATTAAATGCATCAGATGATCGTGGTATAGGTATAGTGAGGGGACAAATTCTTAGCTTTGCATCAACCAGAACAATATTCAAAGCAGGGCCTAAGCTGATAATATTGGATGAAGCTGATGCTATGACTAATGATGCACAAAATGCTCTCAGAAGAAGTAAGTGCTACATATTGATCCTCTTTGTTTACTGTTAACTGTTTACTTATGTTATTTAGCCTGTAGTCATGATAAACATCTGTTGCCTTGTGAACATATTTATTAAGCTTAAATCTATACTGCCAGCCAAAAGTTATAGACCATCTCAATTGGAGTAGGATAAGAAACAGAACTTGGTACATTAAGTAAAAAAGAGTAACTAAGGTAATCTAAGTAGTGACTAAGAGTTTTATCAAAATCCACTTTTTAACCTTTTCGCTTCCAACATACACGGTCTTGCCAAGCGCCAAGCTATAAATGTATAACTAAATATACAGTAAACAGTAGTGATGGGGTTTACAGTTACAGTGCTTTCATACCCTGTTTTTACCATAATAGTGTATAGAGTACAAAAACAGCACCTAAATCTACTGTAATTACAGTGCATCTGGAGATCTGGGCTCATCGAACATTTTACATACTTATTGAATTCCTCCTCTTTGATGAATAAACATTATTATTATCATCCAGTTAGACATACTTCAGAATTATCTTCTGATTCAATGTTGTCCACAAAATACTCCGAGTCCGATTCCACACCTTGCAAAATTTATAGAAGTTCGTCTGAATCACATTCTTTGCTCATTTTTCTATTTGTTCTAAGTGAAAGAAATAAAGATGCGTGCGCGCGAATCCGATGTCGTGCTGCACTATGCTAAAGTGACCTTGACAGCCGCACGCCTATGACATCACTGACCAACTTCTATAGTAGTTCGTGGCGCTCGGTGGCGCACAGGGGCAAAGACCACCAATTGTTTTGTAGAGATGGGAAAATAACTATCGACAAGAATTGGTAACAACTTTATAATTACGTATCGGCATCTACCTGAAGGTCGAAATTCATCTACTATCCTTTGTAATGATGGGCTCGCTGCCATTGCAGCGGTAAGTCCCCTCTTTGAGGAGTGGCTTGACAGACGCTACGGCGTCCTCACCTACCGACTGACGCAGGTCCTCACCGGACATAGAAGTTTCGGGAGGTACCTGTGTCTGATGGGGCGGGAGGAAACGACCGGGTGTCATCACTGCGAGGACCGCCCTGAGTACACGGTGGAACACACTGTAGCGTAATGCCCTGCGTGGGCTGAGCACCGCCGTGCTCTCAGGGAAGTGATCGGCGATGGCCTAGTGCGGGTCATGATGCGGAGCGAGCGGGACTGGAATGCCGTCTCCTCCTTTTGCGAAGCAGTTATGCTAGGTAAGTAGGAGGCGGGATGCGTGAGGCAGCGAAGCGCTGCCTCCTCGCAACCCAGCCATCGCGAAGGACACACCGGGCGTCGAGGATCGCGGGACGATCTCCGGCCACCGTAAGCGCGGGCCTGCGGACGGCGAGCATGGGTGGCTCCCCGTCCGACCAGAAAAAGACCTGAGTGCAAGGCGCGTCGCGTTCCGCGCGCGTCTCAAAGAGCCATCAGACCACCACAGATGGGGCCCAACAGAGCCGATGCCGATTCGGAGTCGCGGAGAACCTAACGGGTGACCGGGGCTCCGGCTCGACGTGCAGGAGAAGGAACGGGGTGGTTTTCGGTCAGTAAGAGTCTGACACTCCCTCCAGCCTCACCCAGGCGGGAGCAGTCATTCGATGACTATCCCGCCTCAAAAAAAATCCTTCATAATGAAGAATATAGTTATAAGTTCATATTTAAACTGTCAAACACCAAGCGGTCACCGGTGACCGAAACCTATTGTTCTATAATTGTGTCTACAAAACCGGTACTCGACGAGTTAATTTACCTCAAATAGTTTTCGATATTCGTAACTTTCTGTATTCATAAATATGTCAATGGTGAAATCTTTCACGGCACATCACTGGGCAACTTGATATGAAGTGATTGGCGTTCTGAGGAAAGTAACAAAATTCGGAGTTTCTGTTTTTGCCGATTTTAGGACAAACTTGGGTTTATTTTGTGTAGAAAAATAAAAAACAGAGTAGTAGACAGAGCTATCTTAAATAATAAAATGAAACAAAGCTTTTAATCACAGTAAATTTATTTTAATAAGATAGTTAAAATGAACAACTTCTATAGAAGTTGTGGCGCTGGTGGCACGAATATCGCGAACTTATAGCAGTTCGGAATGTTCGTGCAAGCACTTCTATAGAGAAGAAGAATCCGGTGAAAAGGTTAATAATCTCAGCAGGCGGAGAATTATGTAACTAATGCATCCTTTGGTATATTGCTCTAGGTTTAGTTTTAAATCATCTTAATTTTTCTTTTGTGAATATAATTTTTATATTCCTATCAAGCTAATCTACCAAAAGCTCAATTGAATTTAGATCTGGATTATGAGGAGACCAAACTATAATTTTAGACACTCCTTCCATAATGTTCTCTTCTAAATAACAAATTTTTAATTGAAAACTATAGAAATGATATTTTTATGAAAAATAGGGGATGATATTTAAACAGATTAATTATATTTTTCTGAAGAAATAGAATGTAAACTGATGTTCACACATCATGTTTTATTTTGGTGTTTTAGGCAAAGTATGGTTAATTTTATATTCATAGAAATTATTCATACAAATAATTTTGACACATTAGTTACAGTGCGCCACAATTGCACCATTCCATGGGACTGTTTCAATAGTTCAATTGGCGCATGTAGGAATGTCTAGTGGCTACAACTTTTTTCGGTTCATCTTTGGATGTTTTTGAATTGATATACATTTGTAATGTTGTACACTCTTGTATCATCTAATGTGATTGCAATGTAAATTGAACCTTACATGTATATAATTGTCGTAATAATTAATTTAATTTACTACTTGTTGGTTTAATTCATAATGCGTATGCAATTAGAGTACAAACCTATACAAAAAAGTTGTTATTCCAGCAATCTTAGGTACGCCGTGCGTGAGGAACATTAGTTTCTTTAGTTCTCTTACCTTAATTTGATTGCTTATAATGCGGTAATACACTTTCCTATTTCAAGCTACAAGTATAAAAGGTTGCCATGGTAATTTTAATCAAAACAAAGTAACTGGAGTATGGGCAAGTATGCCATAGGTACGTACCTATACGACTTTGAAGTTAATTTTGAAAAGGTTGGTGTATTTTACGATAACGGAATATTTGTGATGTTTTTTGATTTAAATAAGTGTGTTGTCTAATGAGTCGGTTACGATGCATTATAATGAAGAGGACGTGGCTGAGTCTAAAACAATCCAGATTGCTGTTCTTGGCGAGCCTAAAACTGGAAAGGTAAGTCCCTACTTCAGTATAAACTTTTCAAAAGATTCACATAGAAGATTGAGTTGAAATCGGTTATTGTATAAATTGTCTACTTATGCATAGTTCTTCCTTCTACGATTTTACAAAAAATCGAGGTACACCAGGCACCATTTACCGCCGCCGCTGCGCTTTAAATTTTGTTTAATAAACTATAAATTGTATGTAGTATAGTACATTTAGAAGACATAAAATCTTATTACAATATTCTGCGGCTATGCATGACTTGAAAGAAGACGCCTACTTTAGGGCCGGTTTTAAGTGAGGATAATATATTTTCTGTTATGGAGATTTTCAAGTTAAAGACCTTCGATTTAACGGCGCTATGCATAAAATCTACTGGTTTTGTAGAGTTGCCTATGCCACCGCTACTTGGGCGGTAATAGCATCGCTCCGGTGGGAGGCACGCAGGGTGCTGAGGTGATGGCAGGCCAGTGCATAGGACTGCGCCCCCCGGTGCCCCTACAACTCTGTGACGTCGCAGGAAACGCACTCCAGACGAACATGCTTGCCAACTACTTGTACGATTCTGATGTAAGACTCTGATAATACATACTTGATTGATCTACATAGTCGATAGATGGACAGCAACCGTATATATACAATACGTATATTTGCAGAACCACATTCATAACAGACTTGAACCACGTATGTCTACCATTTTTAAATGTTTCGAATGGGTCTTAAAAACTGCGCAGAAGCAAATTTATATGAGTTTGTGACACAAGATTTGACCAATATTTTGTTACAGATTATTTTATTTGTTTACGACCTCACAAATCTTGAAAGTTTCGATAAGTTGGCTGTATGGATTCAGAGAGTGAAAGAAATATTTGAAATTGAAACGACTAAGCCCTTGATGGCTCTGTTTGGCAATAAGTCTGATTTAGAACACCAGAGGGCTGTGAGATTATCTTGTGTGCAAAAATTTGCATCCGAACATTTGTTGGAGACATTCAAAGGATCTGCAAGAACTGGGGAGATGGTGAGAACGATTTCAATACTCAGTGTGAGCAAGTTTATGATACAGCCGTATAGGTTGTTTGTTTAACGTAACTATAATGTTTTACAACGTTGTTTCTACACTATAAAATATATCTAAACTAGTATTTCACGCTATATCGTATATTCACTTACAAACACGAGATTCATTCGTGATTATCTAAACAACAATAAATGGATCATACAGATTTCTCCGTTTGTAGTATCCGCAACATATTGTGCACCAGTCAACCGTCCAACTGTATACCATCTGAAGGAACTTACTCATAAGTTATAATACTTGAATATTGCCGTAACTATTTTTATTAACTATTGAATTTCAGGTTAGTAACGCGTTCACAACGCTCGTTGCTCGTGTAATGGGTGTGAAGGTGAATCGATTACCGCCAGCCCTTGTTGACGGCAGGTCTGCACTACCAAAGGAACCTGTTCCGAATGGACCCGCGTCTTCAGGTTACTCGGACCCCATGCAATCACTAATCATGAACAGGAAAGCTATGAGAAGAATGCAACGCAAAGCATCATCGACAATATGCAGCATACAATAAAACTATTTATTAATTACTTATATGGTTTTTTGATTTTATATTCGTTTTGTGTTTAAGTATGTCCTGCCTTTTATCCATTTGCCACATAACTGGTAAATAATATTATTGAATCTATTTTATTTTTAATTCTACATAATATTTATATTTAATGTGTTTAAAACTGTTTCAGTTATTGAGAAGTACACAGAGAACGTGCGTTTCTGCATAATTTGCAACTATTTGGGTAAAATAATACCAGCGCTCCAATCGAGATGTACTCGCTTCCGCTTCGCGCCATTACAGCAGAGTCAGATAGTACCACGGTTGAAGGAAGTTGCTGCAGCTGAAAAGTAGGTGTCTAAATTCATATTTTTTATACTTTTTTCAAATTGTTACAAAGTTTATAATTTGACCTGATTTTACTGCTAAAATTACTCTTACTACAATCAAGTTTACCATTTCTAAATGTGAAACGCCCACATCACAACAAATTGTAATATTCATTTTCAGTGTGAAATTATCGGAAGACGGAATAAAAGCTTTGCTGGCTCTCTCGGGTGGGGACATGAGGAAAGTCCTGAATACCTTGCAAAGTACGTGGCTCGCTTACCGTGACGTCACCGAGGACAACGTCTACACCTGCGTGGGACATCCGCTCCGCTCTGATATTACGAAAATATTCAACTGGCTGCTCACTGAAAATGATTTCGCGGTTTGCTTTCAAAGTATCCTTTTCAACTTTTAAAAAAGGAGCGTCTGGACGTAGAGTGAACAACCGAAGTATGGTCATTAAAGGGTTTTATATTACAGCCATCGAGCTAACTGTAACTCTGCTACAAAACTTGCTAGAGGCTAAAAACTGTCGATAACTAAAGTGCAAATATTCATACATTCGTAACTTGGTTTAGGAGTTGGAACTGGCACTGCTTTTTTTTTTTTTTTTTTTTTTTTTTT